GGCCGCTCCGTCCGAGCGCGGTTCCGTCCGAGGAGCGGAGCGGCGCCGCATCCCCGCCGCCTCCACGTGTGCTCTGCGTGACCAGCCCCATGGCCGGGCTTTTGGAAAGGATGCCGTGAGGGGTAGCTTGGGTTTTTTAAAATCCCCGAAGTAGCCAACGGCGTGTGTGTGAAGGTCGGTTTCTTTTCTTTGTCCCAGCATCCCTTCTCTCCCTCGCTCATCTCCTCTCGCAGGCTCACACCGTAAGCAATGATAACGCTGAGAGTGTAAGAGCGAGGCCTGTGTTTGTGTTTACCAGCAAGATCTGTGATGCCACTTGCTTGGAGACAAATGTTTTGATTTAATGAAAATGCAGCTGATAAGGAATTGTTTGCTTTGAATGGTGCCTTGCTTTTTCCAGGGTAATGTTTAACCAGCAGAGTCATAGGTCAGGTTTTTATTTTAAAGATGGAGGAAGAAAATAAAGGAGACAAATATTTTTTCCTTACTTAAAGCTGGTCCAGATTCCTGTATATTTTTAGCTCCCTGAATGGTGTCCTCTCCTTATCCCTTTCTTTGCATACAAAGAGCTGGCGCTGCTTTGGCCTGGGGAAAAGCAGATGAAGAATGTTTTCTTTGAGTATAGCACTCGTATTCTCTCCATCAGGATTACAACAAAGAATAGAGGCTTTCAGGACCGTCCTTGTATAATTGTGCTTTTGGTTTCCATAGGAACTTTTAGGGAAAGTTGTCTTCTGCTGATGTACTGAAGATGCCAAAAAGAAACCCTTCCCCGAGTAGCAATTTAAATGAGCTCTCATCTTACACACGTATAACGGGCTAGTGCTAATTTGAAGTTGGTGTTGCATTTGACCTGCCATCAAAACCAGAGTTACAGCTATAAAACTATCAGTAGTGAGTCCCTGATCTTCCAGCTATTTTATTAATAAACAATGTAAATGAGAGAGGTAACTGAGCTTGTGTTTACAGATTACCACTGGGAACTTCTCTATCTACCAATTGAAAAGAGGAGAGAGCTTTAAATTTTGGTGGAATCGGGGCACCTGTTATGAAAAGTGACAAGGCTGACATTTGTTTTTTAAGAGCAGTAAAAGGAAAAATGCTGCCTGTTCCTGCAGGTGCTGGCCAGAACCCTGCCCGGCAGGCGAGTGTTGCTGCTGGAATCCCTTACTCTGTGCCTGCCTGGAGCTGCCAGATGATCTGTGGGTCAGGCTTGAAAGCGGTATGTCTGGCTGCTCAGTCCATACTGACGGGAGACTCCAGCATCGTGGTTGCAGGAGGCATGGAAAGTATGAGCAAGGTAAGGCAAAACGATTCATTTTTAAGAAAAAGACCTGATGCTGTAGCTACTGAAAAGGTGCTGTGCAAACACACCACATTTAAAATTCCATTTTAATTTCCAGTTAGCCCTGTTGTGGTGAATGATTTGCTTGTGACAATAGCTGGCAATAGACAGGCTTTTTTGTGTTGCAAGAAGCCCAAAGAAGGAATAAATTGAAATGTTATTGTTCACCAAGCAATTTGATCTTGGAAAGGAAGCAGATTTCAAGGTTTTCAGACCAAGGCTGTACCAAGGAATGGCACTGGGCTGGTGATCTGATCCCTAACAAGGGAGTGGCCTCTTCTGCTCTGGCTTGCTGGCTGCCTACGCTGAGTGGTGTTGGCGTTGGCTGGCAGCACAGTGCAATCAAGAATCAGCTAGAGCAGACTGGTAGGATCGAGGACTCACACCCGTGTGGCTGCAGGGATGATTGATTTGATCTGTGGAGAGAAAACACTTGCTGCTTGGTGATCTGCTGCTGGGGAAATGCACAGGTTAAAGAGAGTATGCCGGCTGGTGGAGGAAGAGACAGAGCAGGCAGTGGGGGAGACTGCTGGGGCTGGGGGTTGCTGCCTGCAGCCGCAAGGCAGGGGTCTGTCTCTTCAGGATACGAAGCATCTAACTCCTTTCGAAATACCTTCTTGCAGGCTCCTCATGTCATTCACATGCGAGCTGGGGTGAAAATGGGAGAGGCTTCCTTGCAGGACACTATAATCCTTGATGGTCTTACAGATGCTTTTTATCAGTATCATATGGGTATAACAGGTAAGTGGTGACAGTTCAGAAAATTAAACTGTTAACAAGGGAGGTGGGAAGAATTCCCTGTCAGGAAATTTCAGAAGTTTCAAATAAGGTGTTTCAAGCTGTTCTTATGTTATAGTTGTGAAAAAGAAATAAAACCCTAATATTAAAAGGCACTGAAAGCATTTTCTGCTTTGTATAGAAAGCTATTTTTTGGTTTTTTTTTCTTCTGTCTGAGCTAATCTTTTTGCATCTTCTTTGTGTCTGAGCAATTGAATTTAATTTCAGGAAAAACAAACAAAATAATCCTTGTATGTAACTGGAGCATTCAGCAGCACAGATTTACAGTGGGGAGGAATTATGTGAAGTGTACTGTGGATACGCATGGTTCTGCAGCTTCAAGTTATTGCACCCAGGATGGGATAGCCAGCCAACAGCTTTTTCAGATCCTGCTTATGAAATAGACTAACTTCAGAATTGTTCCCTCTTCTGAAGTAGCCCTAGAGACATCTGAGTATAACAATCCAGAGAAGCAATAAACTAGAAGAGCTTGCTTGCATTTGTATTTAACTCAATGTACCATCTGGGAGGAGATCCCACACAGAAATTTTCACCCTCAAAAGTCAATAGAGAATCCTGAGCAAACAAAATGAGGAAATCGGAATGAAAACTGTTCAACAAGCTTAGCTGCTTGCTACAGCAAACATTAATGACTGCCTTTGTGCTTACAATCTTACAACTTAAAATTTTAGCATTTCCTGATGGCAATTTGCATTTTGTTCCTATTTCAGCTGAAAATGTGGCCAATCAGTGGCAAGTCAGCAGAGGTGAACAAGACCAACTTGCTCTGCAGTCACAAAACAGGGCAGAGGCAGCGCAGAAAGCTGGCTATTTTACAAAAGAAATTGTTCCCGTTCTTGTACCTTCTAAAAAAGGTAGGTTTGAATGAATGAGAGCTGATTTTAAAGGAAAAAAAAAATCTTTCTCCTGTGTCTCCTATAATCAGTGAATGGTTTCCTACTTACCCTTTTTCTGTAAGCTGTTCTGTAAGCATGTAGCCTGTTGCTCTCTCTTTCAACTTCCAGTGATTATTTTTTGAAATAACAGAGAAACAATCACAGAATGTTGGGGACTG